AGGATAGGATACTTTGCAGTTTGCTGGTCTACTTATAGGACTCAAAAATGAACTTGAGGGAGAGGCTAAAAAACAAAAACTCTCTGCTTTGCAGATAATTTTCTGTTAGGGCATATGCCATTATATTATAGGATCACTGGGCCAGTCAGGCTGGAATTATAAAATTTGTGGTTCACATAAAAAAGCGTTCTGCCTTAAAATAAAACGTTCCAGGCAACTAGAAACAGGTTTGCAGGCAGTCAGAAATTGGCTTCAGTTATGGTAGCTATGATCATATGAATGTCAAGTCAGGCAACACAGAGATGGTCCCATGCAAGATTGTTAATTGCGCGCGTCACTCACAGATGAGCAAGAGGGATGGATCTACAGAAGGAAATACTATTTACTCCCAACATAATCGTTTAAAATTAAAAAAAAAAAAAACATTTATGGCACCTATTTGTTACCTCAGCTTTCAAATTGAGGAGAAACTCATCGGCAGTTGGAGAAACTTCTCAAAGAAAAGGCAATGCGCAACAAACAACATGACACTTCACAGTTGACTGACTAGAATAGTCTCAATAGTCAATAGAGTACTCGAAAGTAAAAAATTTAGCATTCAAACCTTTAGATTCTGTGAACCTTGTGATTTCTTCATCATTAAAACTTTAGAAGGCTCACAATATATCACGTAAAGTTTTCACTCAATTATCATCTCGAAGTTTGGGAGCTTTATCTGCAGTAATGTTCTGTAGTTACCTCAACCACCGAAACCAATTGCGTAATGAGAACTAACCACTAACCATCATTAGATTCCCGCCACTGTTGCACACGGTTGATTCTGCATGCATGTATAATATAAGGTTATTAAACTATTCTGATTTCTGTTGAATGTCAGTTACTGATGAATTTTTAATATAGAAGAATTCGTATCTTTCATTTTTTTCACATGACTATATTGATGTTGGTTTCACATTGGTTGAAGGTGCAGTTGGTATCCCTGCTACCATACCTTCTTTGTTTATGTTTTTCGTTTGGCTGATCGCAACAAAAGGAGATTGTAATTTGTATGTCTCAGCTGATTGCATCGGTGGTCAGTTTTGTATTTGTGGATTGAATCATAGGCAGTTTTTCATGTATTTGTGAGTGAGTGTACACTGTACATAGTGAAGATGTTATTCTTTGCAATTTCCATCAATAATGACATAACTACACTATTGTATTACGCTCTTGAAATAAGAATTGTAGCCTTACGCATTAAGATAGCATCAGTGCGTTAACATTGTGTGCATTTGAGGCGGTCCTTTCTAGCTTTCTATTGCTGATTGGATTTCAGTGGCTGTGATGTTGCACATGTTCTAGCAATGATTGGATCCCTGTGACAGTACGTTGGATGTGTTCAAGCGTTGATTGGATTCTTGTGACTGTTACGTTGGACGTGTTCAAGCATTGATTGGATTCTTGTGACTGTTATGTTGGATACGTTCAAGCATTGATTGGATTCTTGTTACTGTGATGATGCAAGCACTGTTTTTTTTCAATGAAACAGCTGTGGCATCTTGCAGAGACTCATCAGTGATGATGATGGACTGAAAGTGGAAGTGTGCTGGACGTTCCAGATTTTTGGGTCCTGCTTTCTGATTTACTATGTTTACCAGTTAATATATTACCCCTCTGGAATTCCACACTGGGGCCAGTGACCAGTGGCGCTGCCGCCACTGGCCATATTATCTTTATTTATTTTTCCCTGTAGGCTGTAGCATGGCAACCTTATTGAGGAGGTGATGACTTTAGTGGCATTGATGGTACATGGTAGTCTGCTTATGCTAGATGAATTACCGTAAAATGGGGTAACTTAGACCACTTTTATTTTTATAAATGATGCCATTTTTTTACTAGCTAAATTAAACTTGAATTGAAACCTGCAAAATACAGGTCTATACTCTAGCTTCACTCACCATAAATTGCTGGCTCCTGCCTCTCATAGTCTTTATGTAATTTCAAAAAAAGTGGTGGTCTTTGTTACCCCAGCTCTTGGGGTAACTTAGACCTTATTGTGTTATGTAGCCTCAGTATTAGGCCTTTAATGCCCATTGACAAAATTTTTCTATGTCAAATAGTTTTTGAGTTGTGGGGGTTTTTGTTAAAAAAACGAAAAGTGGTCTAAGTTACCCCGCCGGTCTAAGTTACCCCATTTTACGGTACCTTTAATCTAAATTAGATGGAAGAGATGGAAGGTAATTCATCTAGCATAAGCAGACTACCGTCAATGCCACTAAAGTTGTCACCTCAATAAGGTCGCCATGCTAGCTACAGGGAAAAGGAAATATTTAATAAAACGGACCCAATACAAATATTTCATTATCATAGGAAAATACTGGAACATTTATTAATATTGCTTAAATATAGTATAATGCATTTCTGACATTTAATTTATAAATAGTTCTGAGATCACAAAACAACATGACAAAAATTCTGCAAGCGACACAAATTTTTTCCTTCTCCTCAATTTTCACTGCATTTGGGCAATGCTTTATTGCCTAGAAAATGTTTTCTGTACAGTTAGGCCTATGGTAAATACAGTAACCAAATAACCGTAATACTACAGTAATACAGTATTAACATACCATAATATTACAGTTGCAATATCGTACTTCCAGAAGTGGCATTGCCAACCATCAAAGGCAGTTGCTCAATAGCTTTCACTGAGTGAAGACGTATGAGATTTTGATCCCACGAAATAGGTTCACGGTGCATTATGTTCAACTATTATTGGTGGCATGATTTGTTATTCATAAATGTTAATTTGTTGTGTTTGACTTGGAGACAAATTGCTAGTGAATTAATATTTAGTCTAATTACAGCAATCCCTTGATTAACGCGGTTAATAAATCCCCGAGTTTTACCGTGTTAAGCAAAACCACGCTAATCAAACTTAAGAATATATGGGAATAATTATAATGAATCCACAAAAATAGCGAAGGAAAGGAAAATTATGTAGTTTGATAAAACTGAGCAGTAGATATGGCAGCGATCTTGACCAGTTGAAGGCTAATGAGTAACTAGCCCTTTACGCACTGAATTATGTTTCGAAAGTGAAAAAAACAATCTGAATTGCTTTTCAGATCACACGCAGTCTTTGTGTTAAACTGGCAGTAGCGACGCGCCTACTCCATCGAACATCGTTCGAACGAGTTCACAACATGTGACGCTACCGTCACACTCGCGGCTAGACTCCAAACATGTAATTACTCTCGGTAGAAGATTTTATTTTCTGTGTGACGAATTCGTCACACCAGGGCTTAAAGGGCAAGAGCACCGGCATGGCGCACTTACCGGCGAACGTTGCAGAACTTGATCATTCGAGTTATGAACGAGACAAGGCGCGGTTAAACCGACTCTGTAGTCAGCACGAGTTCCTACGGAACGGGACCTTATTTAAAGATGTGAAAAAAAAGTTGCGCTAATCAAAACTGGCACCGCGTAGATTAAGGGTAGGTAGCAAATTTTTTTTCCGCATTAATCAAAACCGCGGTATTCAAAACCGTGCTAATCAAGGGATTGCTGTAGAATCTTAAAATATTGCAACCTCCTGGCCTCCATTCTTGATTCGTTCAAGTGTAATTTTAATCCCCCCTATTCTCCTATTTTTCTCCTCTCTATCCTAACTTAAATTTTTGGATTGAAAAAGTGGTGGAGCTAGATTGAAAATAATATATGAACATTAATTTTTAGAATTCCCATCTGCTCTGAAGCCTGAAACGTGCCATTTTTACACCCCAGCCAAATGCCTTTACCTAGTTGCTGTCTAATGCCTTTACCAAACATCTGTATCTTCACAAAATAGTTATTCCACCTAAATTAAGGCCTCCTCATAAAAGTTATCTTTTACAAAATTTTTTTGCTTCTTGATTGAACCACTTGGTTTAGTGCTCCAAATTATTGTTTTTAATGTAATTGGACCTGGGCCTACATTTCATCAAAAATAATGGTTATGTTTATGAAGAAGTCACTTGGAAAAAATTTTAAAATGAAAAGTAATAGGTATGGATCCATTGAGACTTGTTTCCCTTTAAAATTTACATTTTGTGATTTTACCCTTTCCTTTAAAAAATTTACACTTCCCTTTAAAATTTACACTTTGCCTAAACTTTTTTTACCAAAAATAAAAATTGGAAACTCATCCAGTTTCAAAGTTTTATCTAAAATCGAAGTCCACACTTCCTTGGATTGACAGAACTGCCAAAAATATATCTTTAAGGCATCTTACATAAATATTTATTTAGTTAAAAAAGCTTTCCCAGACATATTCTATAAGGTGCATTTGAAAAAATTTAGTCATTACTTAGACTTTTTGTATAAAAGAAATTTAAAAACCAGAAAAATGCAACTGGATTTTACTTTTTTTCAAGTTGGAGTTACTGGATGAATAGCTTGAAAAGACACCAATTGCTCAAACTAGATGGCCATACATATCATTCTGAGATATAAGTGCTTTCAACATTACTTTATTGGAGCTACAAGCTTCCCTCATTGAACTAGAGGTATTATCTATCATCTAATTGTTAAAAGATTCAGAAAAAAATAGTACCAAGATGAAACATTAATCTCAAATAAGTGACTTTGGAGACTCCAAAAATGAGTAAGAATTTTCCAATTTTACAAGTGACAGTGCAAGGAACCCATCTGGATTAATATTAAACATTTAAATTACCATTTCTAAAATTCCACCCTGCATGCAAAACCTTGGCGTAGCTGGAAAATATCCACTTATTGGCTATTTATGGAGCTCAATGTTACTGCTGCATGATTTATTTCCTATGTAATTGTTGATTAAAGTGCATCATCTCATCAAGCCACCATCTTTCTAATTTCCCATAATGTGTTACTTGTAAATTTCTAATTCTAGGCTAAACACTTCACAAAAATAAATATTACAAAATAAATACAAACAATAAATATTGCCCTCCAGGTATCTAGAAGTGGACAGACCAAGCATGAGTAGAGCCACTTGAACAGAAGAACAAGTAAATGAGCTTTTTAAATATTTCTCCTGCATGTGTACCAATCTATAGATCATTTCAGATTAGATGTTCTTTCTCTTTTTTCTCAGATGGGTAAAGAAGACAGGCGTGAATCATTCCTAAATGACCTTGGCCGAGCCACTCGACGAGGTGTCAGAGAGTGCAGGAAGTGTGGCACTCTGAATGGCACTCGTGGGTATTCATGTAAAAACAAATCTTGTGATGTTGTCTTCAAGGAGGCTGGAGAGAAGAAGAAACTTTCTACTGAGGCCTGCAAAATCATCACTGGGGATGGTTCTCAGGTGATAATATGGAATTTCCCTTTCTATTGCTTTCATTATAAGCATTATTTCCTGGGAGCATACCCATGTAAGCAAATTTATTGGAAAATGTACTCCAAAAAATTCTTTTTGTTATGATAATTGTGAGCTATAGTACAAGAAAGGAGATTGCGGGTGACATCTGTGGAAGGAAGTATTGCACCCTAATAATTTAGATGTTAAAGAATAAATTAACAAACTTTCTCCTAACCAACATAGGTATGTGCAACAAAATATATTATAATGTGAAAATCAATTGCATATATACCTAAATTTGTGTATTCAAATGATATTGATACTATACATATTATTTGTGTTTGAAACCAAAATGTTAATATATTTTAATTCAAGTGTTCAATGCTAACCACAACAGTAACTTTATGATTTTTGCCACAAAATTTATACGTATGACTGTTTGTTTTTATTTTATAAACAGAGCATATGCCATTCTATTATAGGATCACTGGTCATATTATCTTTATTTGAGCTTGAATTATTTTCTATGTTTTTGTATTTGGCTGTGATGGGAATGCTATCAATTGACCAATATTCTGAGCATGATACTGGCAGGCAAAGCCTCAACTCGTTTATTAATATGATTCTTACATTTTTCAGATATACTCCGTGCGGGTGCGTGACAAAGGCCCAGACTACCGAGGCTTTGTACAACTCGACTATCAGAACCAGGATAACCGGAAAGGTTGCAGCCCTTCCAGCAACATATTCAGCCTGACATCCTCAAGCTATTCAGGCACTAGTACCTCTACCATCAACACAAGCTCCATTATGGACGAGTTTGATGGCAAAAATCCACTGTCTTCTCTGACCGACAGTAATTTGGATTGCATTAAAGACTCAGGCTTGTTGCTGAGCCCACAGCAGTCAGTTTCTTCGAAGGCTGGACGCAATTTTTTACAGAGACCTGCAAACTCCTCAGCTTACTGCTTTGTTGATAGCTGTCACAAGGGGAACAAAAATGTAGTAAGTTTAATCAGCTTATGTATTTTGCAGTCTGGAGAGCATTATTTGAATTCTAGTACATGTTATTCTAGTACATGTTCTAGGTTAGAAATTTTTTCATATATACCAATCATGGTTTTTTTCTACTATATACTACCATATCAAATGCTTCTATGCTTTTGACATTCCTGAAAGAATAAGAGTAAATTTTTTAGTCAAAATACCTAACAATCTAAGTTTTGTTAGAAAAGGAGATTTATGCATAATTTTTTCTACTTTTTCATCAATGTTAGTCAGATGAGGATATCATTTACCAGTTGTTGAGCCCTTTTATCCAGCTTTTGAGCCCATCTAAATTATAATTCATCTCTTGCCTAGAGTGCTCATACTGGCTAAGGTTATATGCCATTGCTTTTCAACATTTCTTTTTATTTCTATGCTATCTTCACAAAGAAATTATGAATAAATAAATACGTTTTACGCATCTCAGTTGTACACATCCTGTTTAGGAGATGGGAGCACCACGGGTGATGTGTTCACACATCAAGGCGGCGTCACACTGCTTCAAGAACTCCCAGTCCGTGATGCTCAAGAGCTCAGTGCTTAACTCCATGAACATCCCGCCTGATCTCAAGTCTGCCATCTGGCACTTGGCCATCGACTCGCGCGGTCAGGCCTGCTTCACTGATGCTTGTTTTGCTCTACTGATGCCTGCTTCACTGATGCTTGTTTTGCTTATACTGATGCTTGCTTCACTGATGCTTGCTTCACTGATGCTTTGCTTCACTGATGCTTGCTTTGCTTCACTGATGCCTGCTGCACTGATGCTTGCTTTGCTTCACTGATGCCTGCTGCACTGATGCTTGCTGCACTGATGCTTGCTGCACTGATGCTTGCTGCACTGATGCTTGCTGCACTGATGCTTGCTTTGCTTCACTGATGCCTACTTGTCTACTTGTGCACTGTTGTTAGTGGTGATGTGCACTGATGTTAGTGTTTCCACTCTGTGAGTTTGGGATATCCTGAGGAGTTCAAAATCGTCTGTTGCTTAAGACACCAGAGTGCTCATGAGGATCACAGACGACCTGACTACAAGATTACAGGATAACTTGTCGATAATCTATGATTTGGACCTAGTGAATAATATGCAATTCAACGGCACTAAGTTTGAAGTAATGAGATAAGAGTTGGTACAGAGGTCAGGATGCAGCAGCTCTACTTCAAATATTTTGCACAGAGATTGAGGCAAAGAAACTGGTTCGTGATCTCGGAGTGTTAGAGTAACAAAGCCACTTTCCACATTGCAGCAATAGGAGGCTGTCATATTCAGTCACTTCCGAAGGGATCACTTTCTTTAACGGTTCCAAGGCTGTTCAAAGCCTTGCCAAAGGTGCTGAGAGGGATGGAGAGTTCACCCATGTGACAGGATGCATTTATGGGCATGACGTTAGATCATCTGTCTATGCACCGCTAAGAAGCAAGCATCAGTCTTTTGTATCAGCTTGTCTAAATGAGATCAGATGCAGGGCAGTCACGTCCAATGTTACCTTCAAAAGCTCAGTGACGTTGCGACCTGCCTATCGAAAGCTCCAGGACTGCGGATGACGAAGTCAGCGCATAAACGTGACCATTTACAAAGCTGTTCTAAACTTGACAGAAGGACATAAGGACTTTAGGACAGTATCAGTACTATGTGCAGAGTATGAACATTTGCATCGCAAATTTGCAGCAATCACTGCATTTGCAACAATCAGAACATTTTCTCTATTCTGACTATGATTGGCTGATGAACTTACGATCTCTTAACTTTTTTTGAAAGTATAGGCCCAGGACTGCGGATGACGAAGTCGGAGCATAAACGTTACCATTGACTAAGCTGTTCTAAACTTGACATAAGGACTTTGGGACAGTATCAGTATGTGCTGAGTATGAACATTTCCATCGCAAAATTTGCAGCAATCACTGCATTTGCAACAATCAGAACATTTTCTCTATTCTGACCATTCACTCATTGCAATAACGTCTGTTAAATCATGTATTTCTAGCTATATTAATAAATGTGACAAAATGGTTTTTTTTCAGAGCAATAACTTTCTCCTGTATAATAAAGTGTTTAAAATAATTGCTTTCAACATTTTGTGATCTATGTAATTTAACAACTTTATCTACATAACCATGCATGTAATATTATAGCTCGCCATTTCTCTGATATTTAAGCAACATTGATTAAACGTTGTCACAACGACTTTTGCCGTGTGCAAGCCGCCTAGCTAAGCCTGATTGTGGTGAGCAGAGTCGGTCGTGCCATCGCCTGGGCGCTGACCATCGCAAGTATTTCTGCTCCTGCCGAGCCTTCAGGACGTCCTCGATGCTGCTGAAGGAGACGCGGCCCGGAGGTGTGTCCGTACCCCTCAGGTCCTGCATACACCTTTACTCCTGCCTCATCGCCCTCGCGTCTCATCCCGACCTTGCAGCAGAGTTCAGCCACTACATCAATCTTATAACTCAGTGGGTTGTTACCATTGTTGTTTTTGTCATTATTTTTGCTATTATTTTGTTGATGTTGGCTGAGTTAAGTCACTACATCAATCTTATAACTCTGCGGGTTGCTATAATTGTTTTTTTTGCCATTATTTTTGTTATTATTATTTGTTGATGTTTGCATAGTTCAGCCACTTCATCAATTTTATAACTAAGTGGCTTATTACCATTTTTGTTTTTGTCATTATTTGTGTTATTATTTCGTTGCCTTTGGCAGAGTTCAGCCACTACATCAATCTTTTAACTCAATGGGTTGTTACAATTTTTTAAAATTATTTTCGTTATTATTTTGTTGATATTTGTGAAGGTGTGTCCTCTGCCCCGCACGGTGTCGTGAGTTGATCTGTTGACGTGTTCGTATTTGTGCAGCGACGGTGCGACGCCCTCGAGGGACGAGCTGCGGGGCGCGTTGGGGGCCATGGATGAGGACGACGGCAGTGACACAGTCAAGATCCACGTCACAGAGGACCTCAACGACGATACCACGGCCTACATCCGCGTCAGCGACCCCGGTGAGGAGGGAGAAGGGTTAGGGAGGGCCTGGAGAGAAGCCCGCTCAATGGGTGGGCCTGTCCTGTGACGGCTGCCAGCATGTAGTTTGTTGGGTTGTAATGTGTTAATGTATAACACCACTTCTTTCTTTTTTAGTATTGCTTCTTAAAACTTACGCGACGTCAAACCACCAGGCAAAATTTTATCAATTTAATAAACTCGATATTACATTGATTTCTTTTACCTGATCGCTATGATCCAAATTACTCTTGCATGTTTGATGTAGGTAAAAACATTTCTTGCCATAGGTAGGTTTGACAACGTGCATGCTGAAGAGTGTACTTTAAATCCTGTCACTTTCCTACTCTTGCATTTCTCTTGCAGTGCGCATGCGCCTGTACTCTAATATGGATGTCATGTGGTGCAGATGCCCTGTGATGGCTTGTCGTGTAATGGCAGATCGTGTAATGCAGATGCCGTGTGATGGCCGGTCGTGTAATGCAGGTGTGTGTTCACAGGTTCTTGCGGGGCTGACGATTTGGTCTCAGCAGAGCGCTCCTTTCTCATCCTGAACGACAGCGGCGACCAGCACTGCCAGGTGGAGGTTGAAGTTTTACAAGATGACGGCACCGACCATATGCTACAGGAGGACGGTACAGACCATTTGCTGCAGGAGGACGGAACAGATCATCTGCTCCAAGATGACTCGTTGATGCAAGACCACGCAGCCGACCACCTCCTGCAGGCTCTAGACCGCCACCACCGGAACGCTAGGAGAGCCAACCTCGATGCCCAGGTGAGTCCAATGCTGACTTTGGTTCCGACATTCTGGCATGCAGAGGGAGGTGGACGTGTGAGAACCATGGTAGGAAGGGAGAGGTGGGCAATGGAGGGTATGAAGGTCTTAATAGACACTGCCATTTTTCTTGTAATGACGGATCATCAGAGTCACCCAAGAGAGATTCGTCCACCTCGGCAACGTCGAGCCTCGTGTAGGAGACAAAACTGACGAGGTCATTAGCACATGGAGAAGCCTTATAGACCGGGACTGTGCAAACAAAATGACGGAACGTCGTTAATAGTGAGGTTTTCATGAAGTTAGGATTATGCACTCATGAAAAAGAGGAGAACGTTGTCAACACTGACCACTACCGTATTTGGATGGATCTACTGCAGCTTCCACAGTCCGGGAAGATGGTTCGTACAATTCTGTTGTGATGAGGAGATCATGGTACCATGCTGATGAAACACAGCTGTAAATTTTCTCGTCTTTTTAGGAGCCAAAATTATCTTGGCATTACTGAGGGTCTTGCTTTGGAATCTCATTCATAAATATACTGGCCATCTTCATCTGGTGTGTTCGCTTTGGTTCCCGCAGTTATTGATGTGATAACGCCTTGTTCCATCTTACCCAGAGTTGCCTCTCGCCCTCAGCTGCACCTCATCAGGTCTAACATGACTAGCGTATAGATTTAATCGTTCGTTCATCTCGTTATCTTGTCCTACATGGCATTCCTCAGGAGTACAGTTGTTGTGGTTCCCCGGTCTCAATTTTACAAGAGACCCCCCTCGTGCAAGTACGACACCACCGACGGGGGGTCGCTCCAGAGCTGTAGGGTCGAGTACAGTACAATAGAGTAGAGAACAGGCGCATACATATTTCAAATATCCATGACTGGGCAATTAACAACAGCTATTTTTAACAGGGCATAGGCCTTGAAAATGCTAATGAAATTGTATAGACCAATTTAAAAAGTGTTGTGTAAAATTGTCTAGTGATCATATGCTGAATTGGAGAATATGAACCGTTAAACATGGGATTTTGAAGAGAGATCTTATTAGTCTGTGTTGTGTAGGTTTTGTTCAATAGCTTGGGTCTTGTCTGGGTGAAAAATGTTAACCTTTTTTTCAACAGACTAATAATGCAGGAAGAAAATTCAGATAATTAACCTCTGTTTGTAGGTATATTTCTCCTCTGAGTGAGCTTTATTACATGGACAGGACGAGCTTGACGACAAGCTGGAAATTCAGCTGAGAACTAGCGAGGACGGCGGCATGGAGCTCTGCACGTCTGATGGTGGCAGCATCACCGTGCATCCCTGCGTTACATCGTCACACCATCACCATCATCATCACCACCATCACCAACAGGAACAACTACAACAGAATCACCGCATTGCAATCAGCAGGAATGGTTAGTAGTTGATGGATTTTTTTTGTGGAAACTTGATGATGCAGAAGCCAAAATCCTCTTGCCTGTACCACTGAATTTTTAATAGTTCTAGTCAAGGGTTATGGGCGTCGTCTACAGTTAGTAAATATTATTACAGTCAAACTGGTACTTGAACTTTAATTGATAGATAAAAAGATAAAAACAATTATAAATAAATCGGAGATAAATATAACTGGTGTATTATGTTATAATTTAATATTTTAACTAGTAAATTTTAATAGGGTACCTACTAAACAGTACTTTATTGAATGTGCCGCACAGTAGAGCTCTTAGTTACTTCCGTAATGCATAGTTCGTATAGGTATCAGTATCTGTGTCAGCTTTATTATCCGCTCGCATCTCCACGGCTTCGTATTGACAGATTTACAAGAACCTGAATACAATTCGATAGCAATACAACATAATACTGTTGATGCAAGGCCTGTCGGTCTTTTGTGCGTGACGTGTTGGTCATTGATGCATGACCCGTTGGTCATTGCTGTGTGACTGGTCAGGCACTGATGCATGAATTGCTATCCATTATATTCCTAGCACGCATCATAAACTTGTAGTTCACTCACGACGTGTTCGCACAGACTCATCCAACGCGTCGCTGCTCAGTAGTTCCTGTCTCAAGGCTGTCAGCGGCGGCCTGTGTGACACTGGCTTGACGGCCTCCTTCACGTCCCACTGTAATTCAGTAGATAACGAAGAGCTAATGCAGCATAAGAACCACTGTGGCAGTGCCCAGTGTGTCAGCGGCCACTGTGGCAACACCAACTGCGGCGCACCTATCTACACCAAGAGCTCCCAAGCCATTGTCTCGAAGACTTTACCTAATCTTAATTTACAAAACATCAATTCTGACATTACCAAGAAAGTAAGTTTACTAATCAGTATCCCATTGCACATTTGAGCTTTTTCGCCAATTGGTTGACTATTTATTTGCTCTGTAACAATAATTTGGTAATTAAATTAGTCTAATTGTTAGCGTTGAATCGGATATAAGTTTGAGCATGCAATGCAAACAAGCAATTTCAGTATAGTCCCTATTAACGAGCATTTTTGGATATGAAAATACTGTGCCGCACTTGAAATGCTCTGTCCCTTAGAATCAAAAATTGTATAATTTAATAATTGGGACTTCCAGCCTACAAAAGCCCGTGTTATACCAGTCTCAACCTCCCCAGAAAACCGTATTATATCAAACTCACTCTCCCATAAACCAGTGTTAATCCAGACTCCCTGTACCTCAAGAATCCGTGTTACACCAGACCCCACCACCCCAAAGACCCGTATTATACCCGACTCAATCTCCCACCAGAAATTCGGTTTCGGGAATTTCCCACGCAAAGCGCGTGGCGCCGTGGACGAGGCCGCGTGTTCCCTGCCGTTCCTGACGTGGTTGGCGAGCGCCGCTGAGCGGATCAATCAAGCCATGCAGTACGCGAACTCCGGCAAACCTCCTCCTCTGGTGTTCCACGTGCCCCTGGTGAGTGGCCTGGTGTTGCAGTAGGTGCTCCCGCTGAGTACCCTAGTGTTCCATTAACTCCTACTGATTGACCTGGTCTTCCAAATGCTCCTCATAACTAACCATCTTACTGATGGGTTATTTGGTTTGACTAATGGGCTCTAATACTTGAGCTCCCGTCTTAGCTTGCCTCTTTTCCTGTTTTTAGCGCATTTTCTCATTTATGGAAAAAATGCACTATTGTGCTCGCCATGTCCTTCTGTCTGTCCGTCCATCCGTGACCTCAAGTTTTCGTCGACGAGAAAATGCGCTCTCTGTCACTCACTGCAGTGAGTACTGAGTTATATATATTTTTTTCACTGCGTAGCTTTATATGTTTCCCAAATGCTTCATACTCCGTCTTGTTTTTCTTCTACATTCGATGGGATTTTTAATATTGATTTCTGCCACAGGACTTCTTTGTGTGTTTATTCGAGCGCATCCAGCAACACTCGCGTAAGAAGCTGACGGCTGTGCAGACTAGCGTCCCCCACAACGATCCCTCGGTACTCACACGGCAGACCCGCTACACATGGAACCTCTTCAACCTCACACACGTCAAGAACGTCTTCTCAACCCCTGAAGTGCCCCTCCAGGTTACCAGGTCGTTCCTGCTCAACCGTAACGGAACCTACCAGTACTACGAACCATCGCTCGAGACGCAGAATTTGCCGACTTCTAGAAGTTCTTCGTCACAGCCGTTCATCAAGCCACAGGAATATAGAACCGTAATTAAAGTCGGCCCTAGTCTAAATATCCCTTCGGCTAAGCCTTCTCCTTTCGTTATAGAGTGGATCCCCGATGTGTTGCCTCTATCAAAGATAGGCGAGCTGAGGATAAAGTTTGAGTATGAACACATACACAACGGTCAGGTGGTCAGAAACTCTGGTTTTAAAGAGGAATTGAACCTAGGATCTATTAACAACTCCCTTGCATCTAACTTATTTCAGCAATCTATTCTCATTAATGGTTCCGTGAATAACAATTCTTCTGTATCTAATGTTAGTTCAGTCAAATCATTACCAGGTGTTAAGACGTCGCCGCCTCCTATAGCGCCTAAAATTAATATAAATACTCACGTGAAGGAGAGCAGCTTTGATGAGCAGAGCGCTGCCATCTTGGGTATTGCGCTGTCGCACGACGCACTCGTTGATGCCGACTCTTATTCGGCGCTGCTGTTCTCTTAGCGTCGCCTGATCGTATAATGTTCTGATGTGGCAAGTGGAAGAAGATCTTGTACATGTTCATCAGTTTATTTAGTTCTCAATTTCAGAGGTGAATTTTGCTCGTCATTTACTGGTGAATGCTTTATTGCTCTTATGTTTGACTCGTGATTTGTGTCGCCTCCATGGGTAGGATGATTTGGCTCTAATTCTGTTCATCAAAATTGGCTCTAATTCTGTTCCATTCTGTTTATAAAATAGGTCAAGTCGCATCAAATCAAAGAGTGGAGAATGTGATCCAGTCTGTCGTTGATTATAGTGTGGCTAATGAGTTCAGCCATGAAGTTTACGAAGAAGAAAAAACGCAATTCCTGATATTCGGCCATTACGTGAACACGGGCTCGTTCACGGCCCCTCACTTCTACTCAAAAAGGCGCCGTGTTCGTTTTGAGTAGAAATTTTCACGCGTGCAGTTTCACTGATCGATGTTTATTGCCATTATCTGCTTAAGAAAATGGTTATTGTAGTTAATTCAAGCTTCACATTACTTGTTCTTCATCGGTTTCCTCGCGTAGAGAAATACTCGTGGCAGCCTCAAGCTGGTACATGATTGCATCATCTCAGTACTGCCAGGTTTTAGAGCTGCAAAATATTACAGCGTCTTGATTCATTCGACAGCCTCTTTATCTACTGACGGTCACTCACGTGAATAGATCTTTTAGGAAAGGATTAACAACGGCTACAATATTCTCGGCCTACGGGGATATGCTTCAGTCAATGTGAACGGTCATTGTTCTGCATAAAACTTCGCATCGTTTAATGTCTGATTGAATGGTCGACACAAATTATCTGTTGAAACAGGAGAAAGAACCTCGTAAAGAATGAAATCAAGTCTCATTCTGCTCTGACGTGTTGAGGTTTTGCGGTAAAAATTACTCGGGCTCGACGGGCACTGCCAGACGTAGTGCGCTGGTGGTTGTTTATGTGCTGTCTAGCGTCACCGAGTGGTCTGAACTTGAAGAAAGCCCTTCTATCATATATTTGTTATTGAGGATGGTTGCAATAGATTGGAAGCTTACATTTAATAAGGAGACAGAAATGTGCCAAGCATCATCCACACTAGCCGTGTGTTCAGTTAATCGCTTTTACTCGACTGCCTACTTTTAAACCTTCCAAATATTCTGAAATTAGTAGTTTCCATTACAACTCAAATTTGACGCTTTTGTTCATAGATGAAATGCTTCTTTATATGTAATGTATATGTAAGTGATCGCATTAGTAATGGTGTGAGTGATGCTCATTGAGGCGAGTACGCCATGTGGCGGGCTTCTCACATTGTGATAAATTGGAGGCCCGAGTTTTTCAGTTGTTATGAAATTATTTATTGTTTGATGTTTCATAGAACTTGGTTAATTCTTCTAGTCCTATAGTTAGTGAATGTTGCCATCACAAATACATTGTAACATATTTATTTTATTTGTCCCCTTAATGCTCGTTATAAGGAATGATTGCGGTATTTTCAATCTTACAATTAAATAATATTCAATAATACAGCAGTTAAGTAATTCAACTTGATTATTTTCTGGGAAGATTTAAAGACCAACTCGTCATCGATCCATTTTATTGCCGTTGCGCATATATATAACATAGTGATCTCGGCGCTGCAGTGTAGGCCTGATGTGGCCTGTCGCCGACATCAGGCCTACACTGTCGCATATAATGAGGTGTTTTCTCGACTTCTTCGAAATTCTTTTTATTACGATTGAAAGGGTAAAATTAATTGAAAAATGATATGAATTTCATGCTTTACTTACATGCGGGTTGAATTGACGAGCTCCATAACCGGCTTTTGTTAAGTAAACAAATGATACACTTAATAAATATTTCCCAATGAATGAACTTTCCATGGGGCAAAGTTCCAACTCAAAATTGTACGAGCTCTGAATTTGTGCAGAGAAACAATGAGGCGTCTCTTCTTTTAGCGTGACTGAATTTGAAACTTCATTTTGCTTTCATATGTTCTATGCTGCTATGTGATATCGTGACGTATTAAGGTTCATCTGCCGGTTCACGATAATCATAAATAAAGTGGAAAATTAACCCTGACGCACCGTATTGAGTTTTTTTAAGCAAAATGAATTACATCCGTTACCTTTACATGAAGTGAATTTAGTTGAATTTTATAACACTAATCAGGATACAACAAATTTCAGCAATTAACTATTGCATTTTTATTTTTTAATCCTTTAATGCACTAGAATAAGTTCTAAAAATTATATGAATTAATTTAAAATATAGTTATAACAAATATGTCAGATGATATGATTTGATTCCGTAAATTGTGCAAATTACTAAATATAGATTTACCTAATTGTATTAACATACTAAAGTTGTTCTTGAAAGAAATCCTTTCGCTTTTTAAGGAAGTTTCTACATGCCTTAATATGTTAAGAATTTAGCATCACACCCTTGTTCTTAAAAAATTAGCATTGGCATCTGGAAACGGGGACACCCCAGTGTCGTGCAAGGACATAGACGGCACCTTTTCGTTAGAAATTATCTCCCAATAAATAGAATTCATATACGATTCTTTACAATTGTGAATAATTCATTGGTGTAGGGTGAAGCAGGAATATCGGATGTATGTTTGCCTGACTAGTACTGCAACCCGTGGATTTATTTAGCGTAAGTATTCGGCAAATATTTATTGCAAATAAAATTTGGTGTTCATTGTAGATCGATTTCTTGTGTTGTTTTTCAATCTGATAGTTATGTTCAAGTGTTGAGTAGGCTAACTCAAGATGCTTGATCTAGATCTTGGATTAATCGACAAATTCTATAAGCTTTCAGTATAATTACAAATTCATCCAAATTTATAACTTTATCGAAGTTTACACCTCAGTAATAAAGTTTGGGCGCCTCAAGTGCCCTCAACTGTCCGATTGACGATTGTAGTGGTCTAATTATCTGTAAAATGTACTAGGTAAGTAGGTATGTACCCAAGTATAATCATGGTCACTCTGACACTGTCAGAGTGTCAGTTTAATCTTATATGAGTAATGAGAGTATCTGTGCTGACTGTGCAGTGTGCACCAAACAACATCACAAGCTGCCAAGCATTATACCAAGCTCGCTATTTGTAACGCACTATTAATAAGTAGCAATGCAACTTAAATATTTTGGTGTTTGCATTTGATGAAGACTTGCACTTGCAGAATTTCAATATTGGCTGGGTAAATTTCTGGGTATAATTTTAGAATTAACTTTAGAAATCCATCTAGCTATCAAGGATTTCAATCAAGTGAATCAACTATTTTCATCTCATCATCTTGGCCTTGAGTAGGCTAGTTGGATTAGGGTAAACGTGGTTCGCGGTATATTCCGACACTTTAACGTTTAAGGACGTAGCAAAAAATGAATGGCTATAAAAAATACACCGTACGCGCAACTCGAGTTCTGTTTGCTTTACATCACTCTCAAAACACCGCACTACGTGCCCGGTGCCAGCAATAATGAAATGTCACAAAATGTTGCCATATTTATTTAAAAGCCTTTAGAATGCAAACCTACCAAATCCATATATTGCAACACTGTGTGTGACTATATTTGGCATTTTGTGAGAATTAGAACACTATTGAATATTGAACACTAGTTAGTAGTTACACTACTTAATTAGGCTCTTAATTAAGATCTATTAACCCTTTAATTAAGAAAATTGTAATTTTTGCACGCAGCTTGGAACGAGCTGTGTGTGTCTAATTCCAAGCTGTGTCAGAATTAGTTTTTATGTGTCTAAATAAAACCATCTCTTAATTTAATCATCTATTGATTTTTTACTACTTGAAATCAGCAAATACAAGTATTCTTAAAGGATTTCTAATATATTCACAGACGTGTTTAAAAGTCTCAAACCATAATATTCTTTCTACACAAACAGGTTATCACTATTTGGTAGAGCAAGGTCAACTATCAACTTTGACACATTTTTTGATGTTCTCACTGGGTGATGCGCACTGTCTCTCTTTGGATCTCATCATTTTCCTGTCAGACGGCCCAGACCTAGTGTTTTAGCAGTATAGTATGGCGCACAAAAGTATGATGTCACTATTTCAAGTTTCAACCATCAACGAATGCATTGAACTAAGAAAAAGCTTAATATAATGGAAAAAATTCAAGAAGTGTCGGAATTACCCACGATGTCAGAATATACTGCGTTTACCCTAACTTGGATATTAGATGAACATAATTCTATTAGGAAAGCTTTACAATCCTAGAATGGCTTTAAATGACATTTATTGCCCATCTAGCAAATCTGATTGCCAGAACAAAATTGAGAACATAATTGTTGGAAATTGCCAGCAGGGTTTTCAATAAAAATCAAAATTGTAAGCAACTGGAAAGCTCACAAGTCTTTCAGTTTTGCACAAGATTTGCAGGAAATTAAAAACATATCTAATTAATAGCCAGACACTGCAGTAGGAATTGGCACAAATTTTGCTTTACTTTATTTTCTCTTTAAACTATGGTCTGGTGATGATTTAAAAAGTGATGACGTTCTTGGCCAGCTCCCGGTTATGATTTGAATAAATTGTCACTAATTACCTGGCTAGTAGCTTACCCCTAGGATACAGGGGTGTACTTAGTGTTTCAGGGGCTAATAGCAGGTACAAGCCAAGCGGCCTGTAGCTGACATTGTAAGCGTTCTTCCAGCTAACGAGTTTAAAAAAAATGGACATTGAAAACAATTATTTCTTTTTTAACAATCTTGTTTTAAAATTGAATGACCAAGAGGTCTAATGAACAAGTTCAGAGAGCATAAGGTGGTACAGTCTCTCCTTGGTTGAGATTTATCACTATATTGAGTGGTAGCCTAGAGGTGGTGATGGCATAGGAGACAATTCCTTCAATCCTCCACTGGGGTGTAAACTATAAAGTTTACACCCCAGCCTCATTGGATAAGCAACATCAAAACTTACAATGTATTTGTCTACTATTCTCATGCAAGTCTTGACTTTTAAAATTTGATAAAGCATCATCTTCATTACAGATCTTCTTAAGTTTGTTTAATGTCAGATCAGAGCCTCTCTTTTGGCCAGCACTATGTATCTCCAGCCTTAGAATTAACTGCCATTGGCACTCGGAACAAATTAAATGTCAATGCAGGCCCAATGATTCGCCACCATTGACCTTGTAAATATTGCCACAAAGTTTGCACCGACTGTTGGCCTCATTTGTACCTCAGTCATCATGGTCACGCCTGCTCTTTCTCCTCAAAATATTCCCGGTTACCACTTATGATTTGTGGCATCCAGCAAGGCCTGAGGAAGCCCTTCCACACTCTTCTAAGCGGCTGACTGATCAACACTGGGTCACGGATTCACAGTGCCGTTACGTATGTGTGCTGAACTCATGTGGTTCTTGTGATGCACGATTAAATGCTCAACAGCTACATCATTCGCTAAATGTTCAGCCATACATTGCCAAGTCTGCCCACTAATTTAACGGCCAAATTAGTGACAGACAAATATAGCTGAATTTGCCCATGACTGGCAACTGCCCATTAGCAATTGAGGGCTAACTTGGTATTCCTTAACAGCACATTTGTAATGTTTCCTTTTGGTGTTTGTATAGTAAAGAATACATTGTTTTCCCTTGAATATTTAAGGCACTTCTTATCTTGTTACGTCATGTCTCATTTGTATCAATATGTCTAGTATTGTTTCATAATTACCTGGACACAAGTTTTTAAGTCATATTTTTATTCCGGGACAAATTTTACTTGCTGTTCTGGTTAATTTTGAGAAATTTATTTCAACAGACAGGAGTCTGAAGTTGTCCAGTTGCTAAAAACGGACTTGATAGCATTTGGTCACTAATATGGAAGACTGAGCAAAAGTCAACCATGAATGAGCCAAAAGCCTATGCTTGTGGAAAATTTCTCACTTGCCCATTGCTCTTTACCAAGTTCCATTGTGAAAATAAGGACATATTGTATATTTTTACATTATAATTTTGAAAATCAGGATAGTTTTTAGTAGGCTCTGACTTCATAATTTCAGTACTTGCAATTTGGAATGCTAAACAGCACTGGAAATTTACTTTTCATGTAAACTATTTTTTTTTTCAAATATAACTTAGTATATGGCCAAAATTTCTGAATATTCCACTTCAACAAGGCAATATTGACATGGTCTGCTTAATTAAATTAAATTTCCTACCCTAAATTGGCTCCATTAAATCAAATAAATAAATTGTTATTTATTTATTCATAAATTAAATTTTAATTAAATTTCCTACACTAAATTGGCTCCATGAAGCCTATAGCTTGTGAAAAATTTGAGGGAATCATTTTGATCGATGCAAAACAAGTAAATGTTTAGCTGCATGACAGTTAACACAGTTTTGAATTGTATTTACACCATATATTGGTATTGTTACAAAAAAAAAAACAATTAAGGATGCTTATTTTATAAAATTTGTCAACTATTAAACTGTACACTATCAATATTTGAGCAACTAATTGAATTCTGTTCTATAAATGTACTAAATTTTGTTAGTAATGATGTAGGTTCTCATGGCATGATTAAATTGCTATGTTTGGATGGTAAATGCAATATGGAATGCTAAACAGCCTTGGAAATGAAAAATAGCAGAGTTGTGTTCCTTTGTTGTTTCATTTGATCTATGCTGTTGGAAGGGCCAGTGTCAAAACCTTGTTAAAGCTCAACATTGGTGACTGAACATGACTTGAATACAAGATTTTTGGTTGTATCCTGAAAATTGGATATTGCTCATGGGTATGGGCTTATCATTATGATTATGAAAGAGTTGAATAATATTGATTATAGAAATACCATCACACATGAATTTTTTATGACTGCATGGCTTCATTGATACAGTTTGGTGCAGTCCTAAGAGTGTAAATTTGTGTTCAAATAATTTTTGTATGGTGCAAATAAACAAATGTATCTATATATGTGCTGTAAATTCTGGTGCGTTTGACTTGATTTCTTGACTGACCGGAAAAATGAAAGTTGTTTGAAAGTGTGATTGATAATCTCATCAGTGACGAGACGTTAAGTGTTGGTTGTTACTACTGAGTTACAAGCATTGTTGGAAGATTGACTACCAGTAAGCAACCAGTAATTCTTTTCCATTAAGCTGGCTGCCTTCAACAATGTTTGTGGTGTACTGTAAAATGCGGCAACTTCAACCGTTTTGACTGTTATATAAAAACTCAATATATAGGTATTAAAAAAATTCTTGCCTTAGTAAAATATAATTCGCATCAAGTTTCAAAATGCATCCATTCATGCTATATCTCGTCTTACTTCTCCGGCACGAGCGGTCGTTCATATTTGTTCCTCTTTTAACAACTCGATTGCACGTAAATTTATAATTGGTGCAGACATTACAAGTGTGCTGAGAACCGCCAGATTGTACGATGGTTTATTACCGAGGTTATAAGGTGAAATTTATTCATAATTAGTTATAAACGTTATTATTCTGTCCATGTGCCACGATAGATGTCCCATAGATGTGTTCTTTCACTGAGCTCAACTTATGCGGTGTTGAGACAAGCTCATCGTGAACATAAAATAGCAGAACTCGCTCGTGAAAGTTGGAGTTAGAATTTCGATCAGTTAATGCATGATATCATTTGGGTTCTACCCAATCGCTTACGGTGGACGGAGGTGGAAGACATTTCTCACTTCTGGTAGCTGGACAATCAAATAATTTGCACAGCAATTGAAGACTTTTTTGTTTGTTTATAGTAGCACGTGTAATTCCTGTGGGCCTGTCTCCCTTGCAGCCAATTTAGCAGCCAGCAATTTAACAAAACTTAAACGGTAGACGAAGTGTTAGAGATATTGTGTGCCTGGTAAGACATCTGCAACACCTCGTGCTGACTTGACTGTGCTGGAGTTGGACTGAGAGGTGCACGTTTGGTCAATATATTACGACTGCGACGACGCTATCCTCGGTGTCACTATCGGCTTGTAATAACGCTGCCTTCGATATATTCATGTGTTGTCATGCCTTGTCTCCAAGCTAGCTGTTAAGAGGGAACTCCTCTCTCTATTAAGCACATGCTGTGAATAAGCAAGATCTGAAGGTACATGATGACAATAATTGACAGAAACTGATAACGTTGCTCGCTGTGTGAGTTTAATCACTTATCAAGCTTTAAGTGCAAATTGAAAATAGTCTCTGTGTGAGATTAATCACTTTTCAAGCTCTAAGTGCAAATTGAAAATGGTCTCTGTCATTTATTGATGCTTTGCCAGCCCAGGCCTTGCAAGCTCCAGGCCTCGGGCTTGTAATATCCCCGAAACCCGTTTTACTGCCGCGTCGCTGGTAGTAGTACTCGTCGCTGCCATTACTCGACCCTTAACCCGGAGAAATTCATCTATTAATGGCATAAATTTGAATTTTGTTTATAGTTTAGCGTTTGGTGTTCGTTCGACTTTTAGGTTGAACTTCTCAAAGTTAACATAAAATAAGAATGCTGTTCGCCCCTAATACTTACGTTTTAATAGAACCAATGCAGCGTTTACTGTTAAATAATAATACGACGCATGGATAAATGTTGAGCTTACATGCATACGCATACCGCCAGTCATCCTGTCATGTCCCGCCAGTCATCCCGCTATGTCCCGCCAGTCATCCCGTCATGTACCGCCAGTCATCCTGTCATGTCCCGCCAGTCATCCCGTCATGACCTATTAGTTATCCCGCCATGTCCCGCCAGTCATCCCGTCATATCC